CGCGTCGGCGGCGAGCTTCGCGTCGAAGCTCCGCTTTTGCGACGCGAGCGCCGCGGCGACCGCCGCCTCCGTCTCCGCGGCGCGGTCGCGCTCCGCGGCGGCGACGGCGTCCGCGAGGCCCCGCAGGAGCGCGTCGTCGTCGTCGTCGTCGTCGCGCTTCGCCTCGAGCGCGGGCCGCGCGCCCGGCGCCGCGGTCGCTAGCGCCTTCTCCAGCACCGCCGCCCGCCGCGCCGCGGACCGGCCCGCCGCCGCCGTCGTCGCGAGCGACTTCTTCGCCGCGGCCGCGTCGTGGTTCGCGGCGCGCAGCAGGTCCTTGGAATGCTCGAGCTCCCGCTGCAGCGCCACGGCCTGCGCCTGCCAGGCCTCCATGACCGTCTGCATCTCGCGGACCTCGTCGCGCGTCGCGCCGACGTCCGAGATCTTCCGCTCCAGGACCAGGCGCTCGTCGCGGAGGCGGCAGATCTCCTTTTCTTGTTGCTCGCACGTCTTTTGATAGGACGCGATGCGCTCCGTGAGCCGCTGCTTCAACGTCCCGAACTCCGCGTCCTGCGCCGCGAGCGCCGACGACCGGCCGTGGATGACCTTGCCCAGCTGGGCCTCCAACTTGGCCCGCTCGTCGTCGTGGACCTCGCCCAGTCGTTGGAGCTCGCGCTTGAGGCGCGCGTTCTCCGACGCGGACGACGCCTTCTCGTTGCACAAGGCCTCGAACTCGCGCTCGCGGACCCGGAACCGCGACCTGGGCAGGAAAAGGGTGATTCAACGTCGCTTCAACGTGAGTGTTCCGCGCGCGCGCGTTCCGGAAACAGCATCCACGCTTCGAGACCGTTCCGAGAGATGATCGCTCGTCCAAAAATCAGCCGAAACGAGTGGAAAACGACCGAGATAGGAGCCTTTGAAGTTGGGAATTTCGCTCTCTTTTCCTGCCCTGACCGCGACTGGAGGTCGTCGAGCTGCTCGGAGACGGCCCGGAGCGACGACGCGTTCGCCGTCGCGCCGCTGTCGACGTTGACGCGCGTCGCGTTCGTGATCTTCCGAGCGCGCGACGCGTACATGAGCGACACGAGCGACTGGCGGTAGTAGTCGCGGTGCGCGCGCAGATTCGTGATCATGAGCGTCTTCGAGTTGCCGCCGAGGGAATCCTTGAGCAGGTGCGTGAGCTTCGAGTTGCGGTAGGGCACGGGCTCCGGCGGCCGCGGCGACTGCGACTTCGGCCGCGTCGCGTTCCGAGATAACGCCGCCAAAACGTCGCCGAGGAGCGCGAGGCTCAGGTTGATGTTCTGCGCCTCGACGAGCGTCTCGCCCTCGGCGCCGGACACGGCGACGCGCTCGCTGCCGGCGAGGTCCACCAGGTTCAGCTTGCCGAGGCGGCACGAGTGGCGGTTCGACTCCGTCCAGCGCGATTCGACGTGGAGCGTGAGCACGCAGTGGCTGCGCGAGCTGTGCTCGTTGCAGTTCGTGCTCGCGTACTGGCGCTGGCGGTCCCCGAAGGCGACGAGGTCGCGCACGTCGCGCTCCGACTTGACGGGCACCTTCAAATTCGGGGGACCGCCGAGGAAGATGCCCGAGTCCCGCGACTCGCGGATCTCGATCTTCCCCTGCGAGGGCGCGTGGTCGTGGCGGTCCTCGAGCAGATTCCGGAAGACGTTGTTGTAGAGCTCGACGTAGGACACGTGCACGAGGAAGACCGCGCTCTCGCGGCGCGCGGCGCGCTCGATCGCGCCGAAGACGTCGCGCACGGCGCGCGGCGTCACGCCGGGCTCCCGCGCCGTGCCCGTCATCGTGTGCGTCTTGCCGCTGCCCGTGTGGCCATAAGCAAAAACCGTCGCGTTGTAGCCGTCGACGACGGAGAGCGCGAGCGGCCGCACGTGCTCGTAGACGTCGTCCTGCCGGCTCCGCGGGCCGAGCACGCCGTCGACGGTGAACGACTTCTTCTTCTCGGGCTCGCACCGGTGGCTCCGCGGCACGGGCGACTTCGAACTCCGCAGCTCCTCGGGCTCGACGACGTCCACGCACTGGGCCGACGTCGCCGACAGGCAGAGCGGGTCGCGCGACCCCGCCGGCTCCGGCCGGATGCGCGCGACGACGCGGACGTGCTCCATGCCTTTCTACCGGGCGCGACTGGTCGCGGCGCGCCCGGCGCGGCTTGCGTCGTCTCCCAGAGCAGGCGCAAGCGGCCACGACGCGCTCGTCGGCCGAGCCGCTCCTTGCTCGAGTTTCAAACGCTTCAGGTTTTTGCCGGAGTTTGACGTTAATCGCCGACTTCATGTATTTCGTTGAGGCTCTTGCTTGCCAAATGGATGATTGTTGTTATCATCCTCGATAAAATAAGCCGCGGTGCCCACAGACCACGCCCGCCTGGCATCTCCCCCGCACCGCGGCCGCCGGCGCGGCATCGCAGCGTCGCCGCTGCGCGCGCCGTCGCCGCGGTCGCGGGCCGTCCCGCGGGCCGCAGCCCTCAACCGCCCACCGAGCCCGCCTAACCAGGCCGCCGCCCGTGTCGAGGCCGGCGCCGCGTGGCGCGCCCCAGTAGGGGTCCCCGGCGCGCCGTCCCCGCGCCATGAAGCTCCCCCGGCCGCGGCCCGAGGCGCCGCCGCCCTGGGGCTGCGCCGTGGACCAGGCGCTCATGCTCGCGGTGTCGGGCTGCCTCCTCTGTAGCGCTTTCGCGTGCGAGGCCGTCCGCGTCGTCGCCTACGTCGCCCACGTCCTGCGGCGCAAGGCGAAACCGAGCCGCGACGAGCCCCAGGTGACGGTGCTCATCGACGGCGAGTGCTGCGTCTGCGACGCTTTACGGTCCTTCGTCCTCTTCCGCCACCGGTCCGACGGCGAGGGCCTGCGGTTCCTGCCCGCGCAGCGCGTCATCGACTGCCTGGCGACGCGGCACCAGCCGCCGGAGAGCGAGTACGACGAGCGCCACAGCGACTACGACGACGCGCGCGACGTCGCGGACGTGCTGGAGGTGAAGCGCGTGGACCCCGCGAGCCTGCTGCGGAGTTTGCACGTCCTGGACCACGGGCCCGGCGACGTCGTCCTCGACGACGCGACGACGCACGTCGGCGCCTACGGCGTTTTTCGGTTGTTCGACGACTGCCACTGGCCCTACCCTCTGGTGGCGTCCATCGGCGGCTCCCTGGCGCCGCGCGTCTTCGTGGACGCGTGCTACGGCTGCTTCTCCCGGAACCGCCACGCGTGGTTCGGCCGGCGGAACCCGCTGGCGCCCCTGGGCTCCGAGACCGTCGACGACGCCGCGCGGCGGCGGCTCGTCGTGCGGGAAGCCGTGTTCTTCACGGGCTTGCTGGTTTTGGCCTTTGCGGTGCTGTGGCTGCCCTACGGCGACCGGCGGAAGGAAGGGTCCACGCAGGAGCTCGCGCGAGTGGCGACCGCGGGTTTCGTGGTTTTGCTCTTCGCGTCGGACCTGTGGGGCGAGGACCGGGAGTCGGTCATGAAGCCCGTGCACGCCTTCTTCGAGCGCTACGTGGGCCACGCGTCCGCGCGTTCTTTGGCGTGCACGCGGTGCTCGTGCGCGCTGATCCTGCTCATCTTCACCGCGGACGTCGTCACGGCGCCCCTCGCGGAGACGGCGGCCGTGCCGCGCTGGATGTGCCGGCCGACGGGCGTCGTCAAGCTGGCCTTCGACTACGGCTACCTCGACGGGTTATTGGCGGACGCGTCGCGGCTCCGGCTGCTGGAGAAGGCGACGCGGGGGAGCCTGGCGTGCGTCGCGTGCGGCTTCGGCACGCCCGTGGCGGCGCCGGTGGCGGCGGGCCTGTGGCTGCTCTACGGCGGCGTCCTGCGGTCCTACAACACGTGGCGGGGCCACAGCTTCATCTCCGCGTGGTGGACGCCAGGGCAGCAAAAGGGTGATTCAACGTCGCTTCAACGTGAGTGTTCCGCGCGCGCGCGTTTCGGAAACAGCACCCACGCTTCGAGAGCGCTCCGAGAGATGATCGCTCGTCCAAAAATTAGCCGAAACGAGCGGAAAACGACCGAGATAGGAGCCTTTGAAGTTGGGAATTTCGCACCCTTTTGCTGCCCAGGTGGACGCTCGTCGTGCTGGCGGTGCGCGGCGGCTGCGCGGACGCGTGGTCCGTCGACGGGCTGCTCGCGGCGCTCGGCGCGTCGCTGCGGCGGCGCGTGCTCCGGGGCGGCGCGGGGCGGCGCGCGGGCTACAAGCGGCCGCGGAGCCCGTCGTCCGCGCGCGCGGCGGAGATGACGCGGTCCGCGGATCGCGGCTGGACGCGGTTCCTCGTGACGCTCATCTTCGCGAACAACTACTTCATGGCGGGCCTGTCGAAGCTGTGCGCGTCGGGCGTCGCCTGGGCCTGCGGCGAGAACCTCAAGGCGAAGTTGCTGCAGACGACGTTGACGCAGACGTCGTTCGGCGTGCACGCGACGCTGCTGCTTCGCCACCTGCCCGACGCGTTCTTCGGCGCGTTGGGCGCCTGCGGCCTCTTTGGAGAGATCGCCATGGGCCTCGTGCCCTTCGCGTCGCCGGCGAAGCTCCTGTTTCCGGGAGCCATGTGGCTCATGCACGTCGGCATCGCGGCTTTGCAGCACATCGTCTTCGTGGACCTGCTCCTCCTCATCCCCGCGTGGTACCTGTGGCACTGGTGCGACCACAGCGCGCGGCCGCGCACGGCCTTCGCGCGACCGCACCCCTGGGACTGGCGCGAGTGGTACGCGGGCACCGCGGGCTCTGTCGCGCGCGGCTACGCGGCCCTGTTCGGCGCGGGCGCGGTCCCGAAGCCCCCCGTCGCGTCGTCGCCCGTGCTCAAGCGCGGGGCAAAACTTTCAAAAAGCGAGTGCCGCCTCGACGAGGCCCTCTTCGCCGCCGCGGACGCGTCGCCGCCGTCCGCGGGAGGCCTCCCGATGCACGACGCCGCGTCGCTGTCCGACGACGAGGCCCTCGTCTACGACGCGACGATGCGCCGCGGCGCCGCGCGCACGATCGCCTTCATGGCCGTCTTCCTCGCCGTCTGGACGCGCGGCGCGGAGTGGTACCCCTACAACGCGTTTCGCATGTTCGCGGACTGGACGCCGCGGCCCATCTTCTACGAGCGCTACGTCACCTACGACGCCGGCGGCGACCGGGGCCGCAACTTCCACTACCACGAGCTCAACGCCGTGCTCAACCGGAAGCGGCTCATGGAGGGGCTGGAGAGCTGCGCGCGCGAGCCGGAGAGCCACCGGTGCGCCGCGTTCTTGGACTTCGCGGAGCCGCGCGCGCGCGCGATGGCGGGCGCGCCGGCGCACCTCGTCGTCCAGACGCGCGCCTGGGACTTCGGCGCCGACCTCGACAAAGCGGGCTACTGCGACGCCATGACCGTGCTCGACTACGACGTCGGCCGGCGCAGCGTCGCGAAGCGCGTCGACGCGCCCTGCGACGCGCTCGACCTCCAAGCGTGCTGCGCGTCGACCATCGGCACGATCTAGGGGGGGCGGTGGGACGCCCGCGCGCCCTAAGGTCGCTCGCGATTGTCGCCGGGCTCGCGGGACGTCCCGCGGCGCCTCGTTGAAGCCTTGCATTGAACTTTCTGTTAAAATCTATATTCTATTTTCAGTGGCCATGGGGAAGGCCGGGGAGCAGCGGACGCGGGTGGGGAGCGCGGACGAGCGGCCGAGCGCCGTGCTCCGGCGGCGGGCGGCGGGCGGCGACTTGGCGACGAAGAAGCTCGTCCAGGTCGACGGCGTCGCCGGCGGCGGCGCCCCGGGCGCCGTCTACCGAGTCGACCTGGGCGAGGCCTGCGTCCTCGAGCGGCGCTTCGTGGACTTCGTGGCGCTGCGCGACGAGCTGGCCGTGGCCTACCCGGCGGTGCGGGCCTTCCGGTTCCCGTGCACCGGCTCCGCGCGCCGGGCGGCCGGCGCGCCGGACGCCGTCGCCGCGGCGGCGCGCGAACTGCTCGCGGGCTGCGCGACGCTCGACGGCGGCGCGCCGCCGGAGGCCTTGGAGGACTGGGTGGACCGCGACGTCGTCGAGGTGTCCGCGCCGGAGCTCTCGCGCGGGCGCGCGGCGGCGGAGAAGCTGCGGCGGCGGCGCTGCGGCGTCCACGTATCCTTCGCGCCGTCCCTGGTCCACAATTTCTACAAGGTCGTCGTGACCGACGACTCGGGCGCGACCTACGCGACGCGGCTCCGCTTCTCGGCCTTCCGCAAGGCGCACGGGCACCTGGGCCACCTCGGCTTCCCGCCGACGCCCGCGAGCCGCCACCTCGGCGTGCCCCTCACGGACTCGCAGCTCCGCGCGCGGCTCGCGGGCCTGCGCGCCTACGTCCAGGGCGCCGTCGGCCTGTTGCCGGACGCGTCGGCGGGCATGGGCGCGTTCCTCGAGGCGCTCGACTTCGTCGAGGAGCCCTGGGCGGCGCCGCGGCCGCCGGCCTACGGCGAGGCCGCGGTCCACGACGCGGCGCTCGGCGCGTTCACGGACGCGCCCCACGCGGCGGCGCCCTTCTGGTGTCCCGCGCGCGTCGACGGCGAGCCGCCGACGCCGGGCGCGCGCGCGTCCGAGTGGTCCGCGGCCGACGACGGCGACTACGCCGTGCAGCTCCTCGTCGAGGCCGCCGCGGGGCTCGACGCGGGCCACGAGGGGTCCCACGTCTACGCGACGGCGCGGCCGTTGCGCGTCGCGTCCGGCGGCGAGCTCGCCTTCGACGACGAGCGCGTCGCGCGGGGCGAGCCCCGGGTCGTCGAGGCGCGCGAGTCCGGCGGATCCGCGGCCTGGGACCCGGCGGCGATCTTCGACTTCGGGCGGCGCGAGGATTGCCTGCTCTTCCGGCTCCACTCGCTCGCGCGCGGCGACGACGACGACCGCAACTGCATCGGGTTCTGCGTGTTGGGCAACTTCCCGCGGCCGCGCGACGAGGCCGCGGCGGAGGCCCCGGAGCTGCGGTTCCAGCTCCTGGACCACGACAACTTCGCGACGTCGACGACGATCTACGCGAAGCTGCGCGTGCTCACGAAGGCGCGGACGCGCGCGCTGTCCGTCGTGCGGAAGACCATCGTCTACGTCTACGAGAAGCTCGACGAGGACCGCGCGCGCGGCGGCCGCCGGCATCGGTCGTTCTTCGACGACGTCGCCTGCACGCTCTGCAGCACCGATGGGGACGGCGACGACGACGGCTGGCGCCGCGCGGGCTGCTCGTTCCCCGCGGAGGGCAGCTTCGGCGAGGTCGCGCGGCCCATGGTCATCGAGAGCCGGCGGAGCCTCGACGACTTCGCGCCGGCGCCGGACGGCGACGTCGTCCTCATCGACTGGCACCACCCGGGCGGCTGGGACCCCGTCTGGGAGTACGCGCGCGACGTCGAGTCCGCGCGCTGGTCCTACGAGCCCAAGAGCCACCGGGACGTGTTCCGCTCCACGATCTTCCACCGCTACACGACGACGGACGAGTCGCTCCTGGGCCGCGACGTCGCGAGCCTCCACGAGCTCGCGAACATCGAGATCCACCCGCCGGCCGCGGAGCGGTCCCGCTCCGCGACGGACGCGCGCGCGCGCCTCGGGTCGGGCGTCGTCTAGCTGTGTGTTACGCGATCCGCTCCCCCGACCGCGACTCCGCGCCCGTTCGTGTCGCGAGGTCGAGCGCGAGCCTCGCGTCATTGGCCATCCGTGCGGCGCTCTCGCGGGTCCGCGCCTCGTAGGAACCGATCTCCGCCATGGCCAGTTGCCGCGCCAGCTCCTCGTCCTTGAGCGTCGGCGTCCGCGGCGGGCCGAAGGCGACGGGCGCCGTCGCGCGACCCACCGAGGCCGCGCGCCGCGGCAGGTCGGGCGGCGCCGGCCGCGCGCGGCGGGCCATCGGCGGCGGCGGCGGCGGCGGCGGCGGCGTTTGCGACGGTTGGTACGCGGGCTCAGACGCGCGCCGCGCCGCGGGCGGCGGCGGCGGCGGACTCCGTCGCGGCAAGGGGGGCGGCGGCGACCGGTACGCGGGCAGGGAGCGCCGCGACGCCGCGCGCGGCGCGGCGGCGGGCGCGGCGACCGGCGCGGCGGCGGGCGCGGCGACCGGCGCGTCGACGGGCGCGTCGGCGGGCGCGGCGTCGGGCGCGGCGGCGGGCGCAGCGGCGGGCGCGGCGACCGGCTGTTCCCTGGCCGGCAGCGGCGGCGGCGGCGAACGAGACGCGGCGGCGGCCGGCGGCGGAGAGGCCGGCCGCGCGGCGACCGGCGGCGCCGGCGCCGCAGACGGCGCCGGCGCTGGCGCGGCGATCGGCGCGGCGGCGGCGACCTCGGCGACTTCCGCGACCGCCTTCCGCAGCGCGACGTTCGCGACGAGGAGGCGCGCCGCGGGAGCCAGCTCGACGCCGGTGACCGGCGACGTGCACTTGCCTCGATCGAACCAGGCCTCGATGGCGCTGCGCTCGTAGGTCTGGCCGTCGCCGACGAGAAGCACCGGGTCCACCATTTCCTCCAGTGTCAATGGGCAGCAGAGGCTGTCGAGCTCCATCGCCCCGGGACGGAACAATGGCTGCCCAAATTACTATCGGTGCACCGAAGTTGCCTTCTGCAACCGAGTGAAGCGGTCCGCTATGATGGTTTGCCATCTCTGGCGGGCAGCCCTCGTCGCCGCCGCGGCGGCCTACTCGCGCCACGACGCCGACGTCGTCTACGACTTCGAGGGCTCGCTGCAGGGCTGGGGCAGCGCCGCGTCGAGCGAGATGCAGCTCGACGTCGCCGCGCGCGGCGGCGAGCTGCTGGGCACGGTGCGCGGCGGCGCCTTCGTCAGCGAGCCGCACCTGGACTCGCCGCCGCTCGCGCTGTCCGCCGCCGGGCGCCAGACCGTGGCCATCCGCATGAAGTACCAGGGCGGCGCGGCGCGCGGCGCGCGGCTGGCGGCGACGTACGGCGGCGCGGCGCCGTCGCCGGACCACTCGGGCGACCACGGCACCCACGACTGGACCGTGCGCGGGCCGCCCGTGCCCGTGGGGAACTCCGGCGGCGCCTCGGGCGACGCCGTCAACGACGGCGACGCGTCGACCGCCGCGGACCTCGCCGCGGGCGACGCGGTTGTCTACGGCTGGCGCGCCGCGGAAGCCGGCGCGCGGAAGCCGACGAAGGGCGCCATGGCCCACGCCATCACGGACGTGGAAATCATCTGCGACGCCGGCGACTGCCCCGCGTCGCTGGCGCTCCAGGCCGGCCCCAGCAACGCGAGCGCGTCCGCGGGCTGGACGACGTTCGCGACGGTCGCCCCGTCCAACGGCACGTCGTCCCGCCAGTTCCTCGCTACGGGCCTCAGCCCCGACGCGCGCCACGCCTTCTGGCGCGTCGTGGTCTCGACGGACGCGCGCGTCCGCGAGCTCCGGCTGCTGCCGTGCGTCGTCGAGGCGCGCTTCGGCATCTCGCCGTCGCCCGACTACGTCACCTACGTCGTGCCCCTCTGGCGCCGCGCGGCGGCGCTCGGCGTCGGCGGCGACGCGCCGTCGAAGGCCGGCAGCTCCCTGCTGCTGACGAAGCTCCGGCTCTACCTCGGCGACGTCGCGCTCGCGCCCGACGAGGTCCGCGAGTACGACATGGACGGCGACGAGGCCTGCGACGAGTGGCGGTCCGGCGACGCGACGACCTCGGACCCTGCGTCCTGGGCGTCGCCCTTCTGGCGGCTCCGCGCGGACGGCGAGCGCGTCGCGCCCTGGATCGTCTCGGAACTGGTCATGTACGCGGACCGCGAGTGCTCCGCCGGCGCGGCGCTCGGCGCGCACGTCGACGCGGGCCGCGCGGGGTCGCGCGGCGGCGTCGTCGCGAGCGCCTGGGCCGGCGCCGGCGACGGCTGGGCGTTGCGGGACGGCGACTGCGATATGGAGGACGCGGGCGGCGGCGGGCCGAAGGTCTTCGAGGCCGGCGCCGCGGCCGCGACGGACCGCGACGCGGGCGGCACCTTTCTCGGCTACGCCTTCGAGCGGGCCGTCGCCGTGCGCTGCGTCGCCATCTGCCAGTCGATGCTCGCGGCGAACCGCGCCGAGTCCGTGACTTTGGAGCGGAGCGACGACGGAGGGAGCTGGACGCGCCACGCGACGCTCGCGCTACCCGCGGCGGCGACCATCGCCAAGGCGAACCCCTGCAAGCTGTCGCACACGGCCGACGACTACGACCGCAAGCGCCGCGAGGCCTACGACCGGTCCGCTCGATTCCCGCAGGGCGGCCACGCGACGAGCGGCAGTTTCGGCGCGCGCGACGCGTTCGCGATCGAGTCCATCATCCTCGCCTACCCGCCCCTCGTGCGCTCCGTGACGGGCTGCGTCGACAAGTTCTGGCCCGGCGTCGAGGCGACGCTCGGGGCCGCGCCGGTCTTGGACGACCGCGACGCGGCGACGCGGCTGAGGGACGCCTATGTCGACGAGAACGGCTACCTGCGGCGCGGCGTCGCCGTGCTCGACAAGATGCCCTGGTACAACGGCACGGACCGCGTGGAGCGGAGCGCCTACGGCGCGACCTTCGCCTGCCCGCGAAACGGCGGGCCGACGCTGACGATCCGCGGCGAGCGGCTGGGCTCCGTCGACGCGCCGGTGACGGTGTCCGTCGGCGGCCGGGCCTGCGACGACGTCACCTACGTCGCGGCGCCGCCGGGCTACTCCTGGACCGCGCGCGCGAACAGCGACGAGATCACGTGCGTCTTGCCGGCCTACGGCGGCGACGCGGCGGGCCCCGGCGACGTCGACGTCGTCGTCGCGCGCGCGGACGAGCCCGCGCTCCGCGACGCCGTCGCCTACCTCTCCTACGCGGGCGACCCGTCGGCACCCGACGCGCCGGAGGTCTTCCACGTCGCCGCGCGGTCCGTGGACCTGCGCTGGACGCCGCCGCCGTACCCAAGATTACGAGAGGGCGCGCCGTCGAAGCTTTTGGGCGCGCTCCAGACGACGGGCTACGTCGTCCACTACAAGGTCGACGAGGCCCGCGACGCCGACGGCTTCTACACGCGCGGCGAGGACGACCGTTTGGGGTCCGGCGCGTTCGGCGCGCCGCGGGATCCGCGGAAGATCGAGGGCGCGCGGGACCGCTACGCGCCGGCGACGAACGACATCTTCTCCGTCACGCTGGGCAACGTCACCACGACGACGATCATCGGCCTCGATCCGGACACGCGCTACGTCTTCGCCGTCGCGGCCGTCGTCGAGGACCGGTTCACCGACCCGGACCGGATCGACACCGTGGACCTCTACGGCCGGCGGCCGCTGATGGACGGCGCGCGCGTCGGCCCCCGGTCGACCTTCACGAACGCGACGGCGACGCTGGTGCACGATTTGTCCTTTTCTCATTTTGATGCGAACGCCACCGTGGCCCACGGCGCCGCGGATCCGCGGTCGGGCCTCGGGCCCGGCGGCCTCGTCGGCGGCGAGGGGGCCTGGGGTCTGGTGCTCGCCGGGTCCGCCAACGTCGAGCACTGCAACGCGTCGCACGCGTGCTGCGACGCCTTCGACGCGCACGCGTTCGCGCTCACCGGCGACGGCTGCGCCGCGGCGTCCTACGCGTGCGTCGAGACGACGGCGCGCGACGCCTTCGACGTCGAGGGCGACGCCGGCCGCCGCGCGGCGCCGCGCAACGACCCGGCGCTGGGCGCTCTCAACCGCGCGGTCGCGAAGCGCATCGCGCTCGTCGGGGACTTCTCGCCGCGGACCTTCGCGCTGCCCCTCGTGCCGACGGCGGCCTGCGGGCCGGCCGTGCGCCTCACGCCCGCGGCGCCGCGGCGCGCGGGCGCGGTCTGGTACGGCCGGCGGCTCAACGTGCGCGAGGGCTTCGACACGACGTTCGTGCTGCGGCCGTCGGACCCCTCGCGGCGCTGCGGCGTCATGGACGGCGCGCACACGCGGTGCCGGAGCCGCGGCGGCGACGGCTTCGCGTTCGTCGTCCAGACCGACGGCCCCGCGGCGCTCGGCGGCGAGGGGAGCGGGCTGGGCCACGACGGCCTGCGGGACGCCGTCGCCGTGGAATTCGACACGTACTACAACCCGGAGCTCCTCGAGCCCTACGAGAACCACGTCGCCGTCCACGCGCGGGGCCGCGGCGCGCCGTCGTCGGCGCACCACGAGGCCGCGCTCGCGTCGTCCGCGCGGCTCCCGGACCTCGGCCGCTTCCCGGCGGGCCGCGAGTTCCGCGTCGTCCGCGTCGTCTACGACCCGGCCTTCGACGCGGGTTTGGCCCAGCTCGACGCCTTCGAGGCCTCGCCCGCGGCCGCGGCGTTCCTCACGAACGGCGCCTTCGCCGCGGGCGGGCTCCCGGACTTCGGCGCGGGGCTGGGCACGCTGAGCGTCTTCGTCGACGACCTCGACGCGCCCGTCGTCGTCGCGCCCCTGAACCTGGACGCCCTGCTGTCGCTCCACCACGGCCGGGCCTACGTGGGGCTCACGGCGGCCACGGGCCTCGACACGTGGCAGGTCCACGACGTCCTCCAGTGGAACTTCACCATGCTCCGCAAGGACCCGCCGATCGACATGCCCCCGGTCGTCAACGGCGCCGGCTCCCACGCCTGCGCACACGGCGCGGCCTGCGTCCACGCGTAACGTGTGACATGGCAGAGGTGCGGATCATGGTGAAGCCGTTGAAGCAGCCGGTTGTTGCACTACTGAAAAGAGTATGGGCACTCGTCGGCTCGGCAGCCCCGCTTGAGGCGACCGATGCTCCTTCGGCGCGGCCGGCGAGGGCTCTGGTGGCTGCTCCTGCGCGCCGCGGCGTGCCGCGCCTGCCTCACGGACGCCGACGTCCTGTTCGTCCTCGACCGGTCCGTGTCCATCGGTCAGGACAATTGGAACGACGCCATCCTCGACTTCCTCGACGCGCAGGTCGCGCGCCTCGCGCCGTCGGAGGAGACGGACGTCCGCGTGGGCGTCGTCGTGTTCCCGGCCCTCGACGGCGCCCAGGACGACCTCAGCGGCGGCGCCGCCGTCGCCGTGAATTTGACGCACGACAGCGGCGCGGTCGCGGCGGCCATCGCGTCCGCCGTGCGCGGCGGCCGGGTCCACGGCGACGGCGAGTCCTGCGCGAACACGGGCGCGGACAACGACGGCGACTGCGAGTGCGACCCGCGCGGCGGCGGCTGGACCGCCTACGGCGGCTACGACCTCGGCCCCTCGAACTCGAGCCTGAGCTGG